TGGCTAACCTTGTTGACATGGCATAAATAGTACCTTTGGAATTTTAGTATGCTCCAAAGAGAACATCTTTCTCAGTCTTATTTTTCAAAAAGGATGGTTGTTTTAAACTCATCGTAAGAAGAGAGTTATCATTCTTTGTGTGTGTTTCATAGCTTTTCTACCAGCAAGGACAAGGGCACAGGCATGTTAGTTAAGTTCTGACATTGTTCCAACATGTAGGTTTCACATTATATTGACATTACAAACTGCTTAACATTTCGCATTTACAGAAGTTTACCGACGTTTCAGAGGGCCTTGCTGCCTCAACCACCAGAGTGACTTACCGAAAGAACCTCTGAAACGTCGGTAAACTTCTGCCAGACTACACCGCGCAAAAACCCAGAAGACAGCCATATTCAGACTCACCGCCGTGAAAACCTCAAATCTTAAATATTTGGGGTTAACATAAGGTATATTTTGTTGAAGGAAGGTCGGTCATGAACATTATGAAAAGCAAGGGTCCTTGGGGAACTCTGTGGCCATTTAATACACCATCTGAGGCAGCTGAATTAACTCTGGCTGTCCTACTACAAACGCCTAAAATTGTGCAGCAACAGATATTCGTGTTCTCTCCCATTGGTTAACACTCATAAATGGGGGGGGTGGGGCTGTGAAACTGGTGATTTTCTGGTATAATCGTTGGCGTTCCTGACATGCAGTTGAGAGATTTTCGGTGGTGGTGTTGGTGTTGAGAATATGGTTATTGCTGTAATGGCGATGTGAGTTACGGCAGTAGTTGCGGAGGACGTTAAATTATCGTACTGAAAGTATACTTATTTACAGCGTGTGATTGTGTGTGTAAAATACAGCTGGAGGTTAAAAGTAACACTAGTGAAAATCAACAAAATGATTAATCTGTTATTCAATACAGATATAGGAAAATTATTTCAGGTCACGAAATGGCGACAATGAAAGCGACGGGAGGTGCGTCTCCAAGTCGAAAAATTACCGTTTTAAGTCACGTGAAATATGAGCACCTGGTTGCTGGCATATCGGGAGGTGTAGCATCAACTCTTATTCTCCATCCCTTGGATCTCATCAAAATTAGGTTTGCAGGTAATGTAATAAATTTCATTGCATAATTTGGTGTGAAGCCTGTGGAAAAGAATTCCACAGTGTTTGTTTGATATTTCTGTCAAAACCCATTATCTTGTGCTTGTTGCATTATAATTTCTTGGCTTAGGCGTATGAAGGATCAATGGAATGTTATCACTTGTATTCTATTGTATTGTGTAATAGAGCCTGCATATTCAATTTATTGTTTAATGTTGGACACTGATCTTAATGAGATGAGTAGTGAGGTTTGGGAGGGTATGATGAAACTCACCGAGGATCATGTTCAGTTGTATTAGCAGTGCTGAACTTTTGGATTTACTACCACTGTGTCAATTTAGTTAAAGTTTAGTTAGGATAGTTAAATAACCAACAACCAATCATCAGTTCTTAGCATCATATTTGAAAACAGAAACATTTGTCTATGGTTCTGCCATAGAAGTAGAGTATGTTGTCCAATGAACTTTTTACTTACTCTCCTATAAGTTGGTAGCAAAAGTGAATAACTTTTTATGCATTTGGATGGAATCTTTCTATTTTTGTAATAATAATAATAGTAGTAGTAGTAGTAGAAATAATAATAATAATAATAATAATGAACGCACTATGTATGTGATCGAGTTTTCGTCCCCGGCTGAAACTAACATAGCCGTGAAGGAGACTGAAAAACGGACCAAGTATCAAGACCTTGTGTTTGAGCTAAGACAGCTGTACCCAGGATTCACTGTCAAACTAATCATCCTTATAATCGGAGTTCTTGGAGGAGTCAAGTCGTCACTGCTGGCCAACATTAAGCTTATTCCGGCATGCCAGCGTAATGCTGAAGCATTACTCAGCCGGATGCAAAAGGCTGTGCTTCTTGGGTCGCTCCGACTACTACGTGCGCACGACCCCAACTCACTGTAGCCGCCTATCTCGTGGTTCGAGCCGTGACTACAGTTTCATCTGGGCTGCAAGCATCCGAGTTATGACGGCAACATGCCTGAAGTTTTTGGCTGCTTGTGGACCAATTAAACAATTCATAATAATAATAATAATAATAATGTGCTCCTTTATGACTTATCAGAGCCCTTCATATACCAGTGTTCTTCCATCATTTTTTTGTATGGTCAATGCAGATCACTCCAAAGAATTTTAAATGGGCTAGCTGGTTTTTTGTGAAATCTGGTATTGACAGTATGCCATTTGAGAGTACTCCAAACACATGCATTTAAATTTTTCATACCCAGTGCATGGCTGAATGGTTAGTTTATCATTTTGAATAAATAATATGCATGTAGAAGACCAGTGCATGGAAATGCCATAATTCTTTATTTGGTATCTTTTCTGACATTACTATGGCAACATCACTATTTGCACTACATTAGATATGTTTAGTGCTAATTTTAATTTTTATATGTTGATTTGTGTGAAGAGTGCACTGATGTCTTCACTCATTCATGGCCTATTAGGAGACAAGTTCTGCCATGTCTTGTTTGTCTACAATGCTGTCTTGTAAAAACTTTAGTAAATGTTGGAGAAAATTTCAGCTTAAGTTTCCAGAAGAAACAGTTTCAAGCAGACAAAATATACATTACCTGGACAGTAAGCTGATAACAAGAGTATACTGTTACTGGACAAAAAGCCATATACGAAATGAATGTGTTAAAAGAAGCGATGTTGGGCGACATTGGTGCCAGACTTGAAGTCTTAAGTAATTAGTACAGGAGACTGGTGCTTTGATAACATCTGCATGAAGGATCACAAAGTTGTTAAAACTGTGACAGCGGTAGTTTATGCTCTGTAGGAATATATCCAGTTTCCTTTTTATATCTTTGATATATACATGATGGAGAAGTTTATTTGTAATTAATAGTTTCATTTGATGTGGCATGATTTTTCTTATGTGGAAATGCGAATTCTCAGAACAGTCAGGACTGGAGCACAGAAAATGCAATAAAATTTATTCATGTAATACGCTTTCATGAAGAAGGAAATGGTAGGATTTGAGGGTTTTGTGGCAGTGAGTATGAAGATGGCATTCTTCAGGGCTGTAGCACTACTTAACCTTGTAGAAATTTACAAAAAATTGTTACTCTGATGATGGAGGCAGCAAAGACCTCTGAAACACTGATAAATTTCTACCAGACTACATGGCACCACAACTTAGAAGAAAGCCATTTTAGAAAGAAATGGTGTCTGGTGTGCGATAAGCACGTGCAGGATAATTGGATCTGGCCTTTAGGACAATACAGTTAATGCTGCTAGGTTCATAAATAATGTCCTAAGCCCATTTCTTGCTGAGCTGATGGAATAGAGGGCTATATTTTATTTTCCAGCAGGATTCTTCAACAGCTCATATAACATATATAAGTTTGGAAGCACTATGGAAGGTTTTTGGTGATGGTGTAATTAGCCTCGTGGAGTAAAAGTATTGAAATAAATGAAGATAGAATGTCAAGCTGAAGGTGTTTTATACATATATGCATTGCTCTGTGGCAGCTAGTTTGAATTGCTGAATGTTCTTTTAGTTTACATGAAAGTAAGATATACTGTCTGTCACTGTAAACTTCTACCAAACTGTTCTTTTATGTTGTTGCTGTAACCTAGAAGGTTATTCAGCTGTAATGTGGTATATTAAACTTATGGTTTATTTATTTTTAGTTATATTTCTGAAAATAGAATCACATTAAGTTGAAACTCCAATTACATCTTTTGTAAGACATGCTTTATTGTGAATGTATTTCTTATCTTATCAAGCTTTTATGCCTTAATCATAATGCCAGTATTGGCACTTCAGAATATGATTGAACACTTCATATTAATTTCGTTAAGTGCATGATATGTTAGGGACAGGATGTCATACATGATAGTTTGTTCAGTAGTGTTTTTTTAAATGAATATGCACACATACCAAATTGTTAATTCATTATATGAGTATTTACTGTAATGACATAATTATCTATATTCTATCTACTGCTCAGGCATGTGCAACAACTTCCAATAAGATAAGTGATTTTGTGGCGTTTTGACTGAGCAGCCTGATGTAGTTGTATTTGGGAAGTACATGGTTTGAATCTCATCCAGGTTTCTGCTGTTGTATTTCAAAATTTTTGAGGTTATCCTCAGTTTTTCCTGGTGAATGTGATTATGGTACTTTCAAACAGACCACCTTTGAGATAATTTTTGTTCCCCATTCATGGTAATTTCTCCTCTTGTTTGATGCTTTATAACCTCTGAAGTTGAGACCAACTGGCACACTATGTTTCTGTATGATTCATTTTAATATTGTACTTGCATCATCTATACCTAGATCTCCTAAATGGTCTCTTACCTTCTGGTGTTTGTGTAGTACATCATTCATACTGCAGGGGGCAATTACACAAAATAGTGGTGAATCTAATAGTATGAGAGTGTGATACTACAAGGTAGCATTCATGTGGTAGTATCAGGTATGAGTGATTCAGATTTATGAAGGAAATAGGTAACAACTTAAGTTAGCATGTATAAATTAAAGTAAGAATGAAGAAGTGGTGATTCAAGATTGTAGTAACCTAAGGTATCAGCAGTCAAATACAATATTTTAAATCAGAGGTGAAATGTGATACAATAGAAGTGAAACCATAAATAATAATGATGACTGGGTTTTCGCTAATTTTAGCAAGGTACAACTTCCGAATTAGTGTTTAACATAACACTTTGAAAATTGTTTAATTTTAATCTTCAAGTTTTAAATTTAAAATGCATTGAGGAACGCACTGATGTCTTATGAGTGCTGAAATACGTGTCTGTTTTGCATGACAGTTATTGTAGTAATAGTTGTTTGTGTTTGAAATGACTGTTTACATGTTCCCTCTTAGGTTTTCTGACTAAAATTTTGTATGTACGAGGTGCGATCGGAAAGTTTCAAGACTGTGTCAATAGCGGGCGAACCGGATGTAGTACGAGCTTCTGCCTTTAGGGGGTGCGGCCTACATTCATAGTGAATCAGTGTGCCAGCCGGCATCATCGAATTAGCATTTGTTTCTTAGTTACGGGCGTTTTGGTAGGTCATTACACCGACCCTCCTGCGATTTCAGGAATGGCGTGTGCATCAAATTTTGCCAAAGACTCGCCAAAACGGCTACAGAAACCTATGAAATGCTAAAGCAAGCATTTGGGGAGTCCGCAATGGGTCAAGCACAAACTTTTGTGTGGCATTCACGTTTTAAAAAGGGCCGGCCGAACCTCTGTCGATGATGACGAGAGTTCTGGACGACCATCTTCGAGCACAACGCCCGAAAATGTTACCAAGATTCGGCAGGCCATTCACGAAGAGCGACGTCGTACCATCAACGACTTGTGCGACATTGTTGGGATAGGCTATGGGACCTGTCAGCTGATTCTAAAGGAAGAACTCCACATGCGACGCATCCTGTCTGAGGACCAGAAGCAGAATCGACTTCTCGTTTGTCAGGAGCTCAAAGATCTTGCAAGAACCGACCCCAACTTCCTTTCTAAGCTCCGTGTGACTTCTTCCTCTTCCCAAAGATGAAAATTCAGCTAAAGGGAAGGAGATTTGAGACGATAGAAGAGATTCAGGCAGAATCGCAGATGGTGTTTGACAGGCAGACAAAGAAAGATTTCCAGGGATGCTTCCAGGCTTGGCAGCGGCGCTGGGATCGTTGGGTTCACTCCCAGGGGAACTTCTTCGAGGGTGATGGATGAATTTAATACCTGAGATTTGTACGGGTTTTTATACGCGCAGTCTAGAAACTTTCCGATCGCACCTCGTATATCTTATCTCACATATGTATTCTATATGTTCCACCAACAGAACTTCATGGTCAAGTTTATCACTTGTGCTTTGTATTTGGGAGGTCCTAGGTTCAAATCTTGACCTGGAAACTGGCTATCCTAACTGAAGTTTGTTTTTCTCAGTCCTTCCAGGCAGTGTCTGGGTAGATCCTTAATTTAGGCTGACTGTTTTGTTCCAATTTATTCTTCATTAATCATCCTGTCATGTGACATATATAGTCTGAACTAATAACAGACAATAACGCATATTGCAAATAAAACAAATACATGTTCCACCCATCTGTGTCTTTCTCAGAGAGTGTGATGTTATGTTTCACACCCATATAAAGAGAGAAATAAAACATGGGAATATAGAAGATTCAGAGCTGAATGGTAGCAAACATTGCCAGATTTTTCTTCAACTTCTTCATTGTAATTTTGATTTGTTACTTCCATTCTCAAGTATTTGATATTTCCGAATTTTCATTAAATAACTTATGAATGCCTCATTTGCGGAATCATGATTATTAGAAGGATTTGTGGTTGTTTGCAGTTTTTTATTAACTGTAATTTTGTGAAGAGTGAAGCTGAAAATAAAAGGGATTAAGAGAATGTCAAATGATACACACAACTGAAGAAAATCTGTCCTGATGGTACTTCTACATATTCTCCAAGATTTTTTTGTCATTGGAAAAAACCCTGGAATTCTGTTGAGACTGAAACAAACTGTTATAGGCAGTATTGTTTGGACTCAAGTCAGGAGATAAGAGCAGAGCATAGAATCTGGTTAATTCCAGATCCACTGTGGCTTATCTGTTAACCCTTTTGTGACATGTCATGATAATGCTTACAAACTATTTTTGAATCTTGACACCAGATCCTTTGTGCATCATGAAACATTCTTGTATAAGACAAGTTTCTTGAGATGACCTCTGCTATATAGTCAAATTATTATTTTTATAAATTTCCAGCAGTGTAATTCTACAATATGAAAACTGTCTGGAATAGATAGTTGTTTTGTTGAGGAAAATTGTTACACCAGTAACGTGGAAACTGGCATGCTGGTCACCTGCTATGCAGTTTGTTCCATTATTTACTGCATGACCTCCAGCCATTTCATTTGACTGAGACAGCTCCCCTCCACAGTCATTTTGTCTTCTCTGTTTCCTCACTATTACTAATATCTCCAATGTTTGGTAATATTCATTATTGATGGGGTATTGCTAAATAAGAAAATATGGATATTTGTGTATAGAACAACTATTTTTCAACATAATTCAGAATGTATGAGCTCACAGTTTCTTGATACCATGGCCCGCTATTAACCGTTGCCCTGCACTTGTAAAAGGTACGTGGAACTCGTACTATATGGACCATGTAATCATCTGGTGGCTCTCACAGACCTCATGCATCTGTGGTGTTAGAAATATGCTATTTTGCTCCATGAAACTAGCCTCCTGTAAGTGATGTAGTCCTGTGACCCACCACTCCCACTCATGGTACTGAAATTTATTGACACATGACCTACCACTAACCCTCATGGTAGCTGATGTGTTAAACACGAAAAGATTTTTTAAAAAAGTCCTGAGTGACTGAAGTGTTTCATAGTTAGTTCTTGTTTAGTTTTTTTGTTGTGTTATATTTGATAAGGAACCAGACGTACACAGTATATGAATTTTCACTGATAGAAAATTCTACGAAAATCTGTTTCAGGTAATAGAGGTTGTTTCTATAAATATTTATGCCATCTGTTATTTTGTCTAATTCATTTTTCAGTGAATGATGGACAGACTCCTGCTCCGCAGTATCAAGGACTTCGAAATGCAATGACAACAATATTTCGACAAGAAGGAGCACGTGGCCTATATAGAGGGGTCACCCCAAATATCTGGGGCTCTGGTAGTGCATGGGGCTTCTACTTTCTTTTGTATGTTCTGTTTATTACATTTTCTGTGTGTTTTGGGGGGCATTTACACTCTGTAGTAAGCTGCTCATAACCAATTTCAAATAACTGACAAGTTCTGAAATTTTATTCTGGTATAATATTAGTTTTACAGCTGAAGTGTGATGAGGAAAATGTCTTATTGAAGTCATTGGAGCATAAACGGTATTAATGCTGGTCTCTTATCTGTAATGTCTAATTGGGAAGAAAGTCATTCCTTTAAAAAATATTAATGGAGCTTAGAATGAAACCATACAATTTGTAAAAAGTTGGGGGTTCGTTATATGTGGCATTATAACTCTTGCATATTTAGGCAGTGTAATTAGTTAATGTTTCTCACCTTGTCACAGCTTAAGCAGTGGCCTCTTGAATTGTTCCTTTAGGATTCTTGCCTTGTCTGTGCTACAGTTTAGCATAACACTGTGGAAAATGGTAATTTATGAACAATTAATTGTGATAGTTAAAAATACATGCATTTTAATGAAACTTTAATTGTCTCTGACAGATTGAACAGATCTCCTGATATCAGTTTAATTAAGTCAAATCCAGTCATGAAACATTGCAGATATGAAAATTCATAAGTTTACAGCTTGTATTTGAAACATGGAAGGATTACAACAGCAATAGGATGAATGCATTCACAAACCAGGAGTTATGTTGGAGTAATAAACATTTTATGGCTTTGTCATAGCACATGAGGTTAGATGCCATCTTCTCATTGCAGAGGCTTCCAGGGTATTGCATGTAGGATTTGTGGTGAACAAAGTGGGCCTGGGACATATTTATTTGAGTCATGGATCATTGATGCTCCATATGCACACTGCTTGTTAGCAGCTGCAATTCTTCTGATGTTTAAGTCTTACCTTATTCATAAAAAAACATTTTGGAAGTCTTTTCAGTAGTGTCATTATATTGCTCTGAATGTCTTTCAGTTACTCAAATTGAGACCCTTTAAAGCAAATTTTTAATTTTAGGAAAGTGTAAAATTACATAGGGCCAAATCAGGCAAATACAGTGGGTGTTCCAAAACTAATGTTGTGTTTTGTTCATGGTGCATTACAGTGATGCAGGAGTCACATGTTGAGCCAAGTATTTTGTTTTATTTTATGAATGTACAACAATAAAGATTTGAAAATTTGAGTGTAGAATGCTTGGTTGGCCATCTGGTTTGGAGGAAAACTGTCATTGAAACACTGTTACTACAGTCATAAAACAAACTAAATCCTAATTACTTATTTCACAGAAAATTGCTGATTTGTGTAATCATGTCGTTGAACTTGCCATCTCACCATTTTCCACACTGAAATAACAGTATGGCTGTTTGTCCGACATTATATAGCTCAGATGGGAGAACAAGGTATTCATGCTGAATTTTGATAAGGACGTTTCTGGAAAACATTACTTGAAAGACTAAAAATGAAAGGACGTTTCTGGAAAACATTACTTGAAAGACTAAAAATGAAGTGTGTTTTGTATTAAAATGAATCATGGGCACATAGTTTGTGAGTGGGTTTAGTTGTCTGAGTATCATGAATGTTGGGTTCTGTTATGAATGTTAGTTGTAATAGTAATAATACTTTGATCTGTAGTTACAACACAATAAAGACATGGATTCAAGGAGGGAACACCAAGAAACCTCTGGGACCAACCTTGCATATGGTAGCGGCAGCCCAGGCTGGGATTCTCACACTTATTATGACAAACCCCATCTGGGTAGTAAAGACTCGCTTATGTCTTCAATACTCTGAAGCAGATAAAACCAGGTTGCCAGAGAGCAAGCGGTACGTGGGTATGGCAGATGCACTCAACAAGATCTACTGCAATGAAGGAATTCGTGGCCTTTACAAGGTTTGTGTTATCATGTCTCTGCCAAGTGCTACATTCTTAATCATATTTCAGCAAGTAATTTTTTGTAATAAAGAATTTAAAATAGTTTTTTCAGAAACTTTTAATTTCACTTTTTCTTGCTTTCATGGATGAACATGATTGAGGGTCTCTGAGAAAAGTGCACTGACTGAGGAGAGTACTGGTAAATCTATTAAGCATTTTTATACAGATGTGCTGAATACCAGCTGATGAGTCAGCCAACCAGTAGATTGGTGCCTGCAGTAGTATGAAATGCATCTAAACTAGAAGAAAGTCCTTGTTCAGTTCCTGAAATAAAAATAGTATTTTGAAGCTGGGTTATAAGTTATTTGGGGAGGGGATTACCACCTGACCTCACATCATAAAATAAAGTAAATTTGCTTTGTAATTTATTTGCTAAATCATAATTTTCTTTCCAGGGTTTTGTACCAGGGATATTTGGTGTCTCTCATGGTGCTATCCAGTTTATGACATATGAAGAAATGAAAAATACTTATAATCAATATAGAATGGTTCCCATCGATACAAAATTGGTAAGTTTTATTCATATTTTTTAATAACTAGCTAAAGTACCTGAATTGCCTTTGTCTGTCTTAATATAAACAGCACTGAGATAATGAAGTTTATTATAGCACTCATGTTTAATAATCTCTTAATCAGTGCTTGCAACTGTGTGTATATTAGATTAATCTACGTGCATCTTTAGTAAACCTCATAAACAAGAACAAGACATTTGAACCTTGTTGCTTGCACATAAAAACAGGACTACAAGAAACACACTGAATTATTCTTACTCATTCAGTGTAACTTTCAAAAATGCAAGCTGTGACTTATAGCATTTTTACCGATATTTACTGGCATGGTGGTAGATTGCTTTGTACATTAAACCACATAAGATTGCTTGGTGACCTAAGAGTGGTTTATTCATGTAGCAGTAATGGTTTTCTCATAGCTTCATGGGAGAAGGGATAGAAATATTTCATATTGTAGATGCTGTGACCAGAGTCTTGTATGTTTCTAGGACATAGTGAGAAGTATCTATCCTGATGTGTAAAGGCATGTATGATCTTGTGTAATTTCATCATAGGACTGAATCCCAGGGAATTTTGCATTGCTACCATATGTCAGTGAATTCCTTCTAATGGTGGTCTGGTCCTCCATCCAAAGCATCCTATCACTTCCATATGAATAAATATTTAAAAAATCCCCTATAAAAGAGTCATGTCTCACTTCAGGCAAAAGCGCCAAGATAAGTAAAATTTGTACAGTGTAAGACTGTAATCTTGCGACTTGCGGGGTGAAGGAGGAAAGATAGCGTCAGCCTTTAACGCTTCGGACTTCCTGCATTCCTTGCAAGTCTCAAGATTACAGTCATGTACTATATATTACTAACAATTATGTGGTTTATTTTTTTGCTCAGTCACTGAATGATCTTAACTATTATAATCTCTTCTCAGTCTTATAGCTGGACATCTTCCAAGATACATTCCCTCAATTTTGCATGCATGTATTATTTACTCTGTATGAACCATGTGTGCATTCCATCTTTTTCTTGATTTTGCTTCTGTAATAATCCTGGGTACATTTATGCTGGCATAACAGACGTGCAGGATCCAGTATAACCTCATAAAACAAGATTTCTGTAACATCAAGCTCACTCACTCAGTGGCCAACAAAGATGGAAATGAATGACAGGGTTTCAGTCTTCTTATAATAATAATAATTTATTTACATTTCATGGATCCATAAGACAGTCAGATGACAATAGGATGTGGAAAAAGTCATAATAATGAAAATAATAATAATAATAATAATAATGTTGTGGCAGATTTTCTTGTTTTTCTTTACCACTTCTTCCACCAAGCTTTCATGTTTAGAGAGTTCACATTTGTCACTTAGTCCTTGCACTGTTATACTGAAGAGCTTTATCTCATCTCAGAACAGTTGCATCAGATATAAAATTCACGTAAGTTTAACAGATATTGGATGGTTATGATTTAGTTTCAGGTAGGAGAAGAATTTCCTTTTCATTGTCATGTGTAACGTATCTGTAGGGCTCTCTCAGTTTAATATTCAATGGATAATGGGGATATTTTGCCAGAGGTAATATTAATCAACATCTTGAAGTCAGCTTCTGTAGTACTGAGGTCCAAAATGCACTGTGCTTCAACTCTAGATCTACTTCTTACATGCCTTCATTTCTTGTTGCCCATTTTTAGACGTTGTTACTGAGATAATTGCATAAAACATTTTTTATGTGCAATAACTTTAATAACTGTGACAGGTTTCTCAGTCTTGTCTACAAAATTGGCCTAAGAGCCCAACATTATAAGGCTTAATATAAATATTTTACATCAGTATTTTGCAAGAGGTGACTACAGTGGGTACCAAGTGCCTGGGGGGTATAACTGGGCCACCCTGCCTCCGAGGGATATAAATACGGGGGCCTGGTCCTCCAGGTTGGGTGTGTAAAAATAATTTGTTATGAAAACTTGAGCAGGCCAAGACCCACCCTGGGTTGTAGTGCCCATGATGATGATATTGTATTACAGTTAATAAAAGTTTGTGTCATATTCATGGACATGTTGATGGCCTCTCAATTTCACATTTCTTACTACGTCAGAAGGTATATCTGTATTACATGTGATCATAATGTTACTTTTTATTTTTTCTAATAAAATGTCTTTGGCATGAGATACATATTTTTGAAGTTATGTTGTATTTAAAACATCTCAGGATCAAACAAAGAATTGCTGTTATGTTGTTCTCACTTTGAAAGTTTGTGTGATTGCTGTGCTGGTGTAGTTCAGAATTGGGATTTAAAATTAATGTCTTGTGAATGACATTGAAATTGGCGAGGACAAACAAGATAAGTATAAATCTTCCACGTCTTATTCTATAACAAACATAAGTGTACCATATTCTGATCTTATGTACAGGGCTCGATGGAATACCTTACATTTGCAGCATGTTCTAAACTTTTGGCAGCAGCATTAACGTACCCATACCAAGTGGTAAGAGCACGTCTACAGGACCACCACCACGACTACAAAGGCTCTTGGGACTGTGTTTGTCGCACCTGGAGGTATGAAGGGTTGCAGGGTTTCTACAAGGGGCTTGTTCCTTATCTACTGCATGTCACTCCTAATATATGTCTCGTGTTCCTTATTTATGAGAAATTTACTGAAAGTAGCTAAAAAGAACCTTTTCTAACAAATGCCACAATTGGAGGAGAAAAGTACTGGAGCAATTGTGAGTGAAGTTTGTTTTATTTGTAACCATATATTATTTGAACATTAAAATGGTAATTCAGAAACATGAATTAATAATCCACAATCCTTTTAAAGCTGAAACATTTGCTTTGTCTCTGGTCTGTTAAAATATGTTTGATGTTTGAATTATGTCTGTTGATAGTGGACTGTCACATAGAAATTGTTTTTGGTTGTGACAGAATGTATTAATGTAAACAGGTGTCATTTGTATGTTTATGATGTATGGCATTATGAATTTTTCACTTGCATATTCGAGAGTGGCAGAGAATTTTAAAACTGCTACCGATAGATGTGATATTTGGCTTCTACTGTATCTCCAAATTAATTTATTTTTTTACAGGAACTAACTTGGTTAGAAATAGTTTCAGAGCATATCTTTGTGTGCTAATGATGCAAAAACATCTCACTTTAGTGTTGTGTAATGACTTAAAAGGTGAACACACAATATACATGGCTGGTGTCCCAAATATTCTGTATAGAATGAAAGAGTGAAGAACAACATATCAAAATTATGGGATCTGGAAATGTGATTTTTGTATGGGAACAATTGCATTCTATTTTAATTTTCTTGAAAGGAAGCATTTGACAATTTGCAATTGAAAGGCATAACAAAAGGCTAACAGTAGTGATTTTTCACTTCAGTAATTTTAAAGTTTACAGTAAATTGAATAGTATAAAGTTTATTTTTTGAATTAATTACCTGTAATTTATCTTCATGTTTCTGCAGTTTTTGGCGTCATTACTCATGTTTGTTTATTATTATCTAAAGCTTGTCTACAACCTGGATTAAGCTAAAACCTTTCTAACATGTTCACTCCCAGGTCCTCACTGCTGGCTTACCTCTCAGCCCAGCCATTGTTACCAGCAGATTAATGTTTTGCAGTTCTATATGATAAAGAAATAAATGGCAATTGATCAGTTATTTATACCATGGCAGAAGGTAGTGCCATCTAGTAACATGATAAAACTGAATGTGTGAAGTGTATTCTGGGTGTGTTATTTTTTTATCTTCTCCCAGCACATTTTTATCCAGCCGGTGTTGATGATGGTGAACTGAACAAATCACATATATACTGCCATATAAGGATATGGGAGAAAACATGTTTATTGCAAAAATTCTTTGGCCAGAGTGAGAAACCATGTAACCTCTTGTAAACTGAATCTGTTTGATTCAGAAACAGGAAGGGAAATAAAATTTAATAGAAATTAGTGTGCTCAAAAATTCATAGGTTTCTCTTCATATAATTTTTTCTGTACTGTGCTTTCTGGAATTTGTCTCAGGAGGAACATTCTTGTCACAAGTGGGAAATAATTAAATCTGATTCTTGCCAGAATATATGAAGAATTCTTTACTGATTTGCAGAAAAAGTAAACAAGTCAGAAAGAGAAAAATGACGAATCTGTATTGAATAGAAATTTGAAATGAAAAAAATGTTCAGGTCACTTGGGATTCTTTCACATAAGAAGTAGTAGTGTTACTCTATTTGAAGCTTTCATGGCGACGTAACGGGCAGGTATATATATGGAGACAACTGTATAACCGGGTCGCGTCAGAACCCTGATGATGGGGACAGAAATGATCCCTGAAACGTCGGTTTTATTGTTTAACCATTTGATGCGGCTGATTGCCCGAGAAGATTTTATTGAGGAGTGTTACTGTTTTAAGCTGAAAAACAAGATTTGATTACAGTCAATTTTCCTTTCTTCTTTCTTACCTTTCTCTCACTTCCATATCCTAAAGGTGCTGAAGCATCTAAAACAATCTAGTTTGCATGAAGTTTTTCATTGATATGGACAGTAAGCAGAAAAGTGCAAATTTTTTGTACATGGCTGAAGGGTTATTGGTCATATAAATTAATCTGAAGAAGGTATGGACTTTAACTGCTGCTAAGAAGATAACATTAATCTTCTTAGTGACAGTTAACAGACTATGTTTTTTAGTGTCTGTTGTATGTCAGACCATGTTTACTTATGTTTGACTTCAGCTCAAGGCCTTTTCCCCCCCCATGTCTTTAGTCCATCTGCTTTAAACGTGGCAACTATTTACTGTTTTACATGAGTAATATTTATGACAACTTAACTTTTAAAGAAGAATAATATTCTGTGTTAATAACATAGTGTTGCTGTTGTGAAGGAAACAACATATATGTGCCATCACTCTTACGTATACATCTGCAAATCCATATAACCTAAACACAATTTTTCAGGTACTCAGGTGTTGATGCATTTCTAATTGTGGCATTGTTTGGATGCTGGATCTGTTTTGAGACATATATTTTGAGTTCAGAAGAGCAGTAGACTTTTCAGTCAACAGATAAAGTGTATACTAACTTTGTCAGACATATCTGTATGCTGTATAATCATATTCTGATCTTTAGTTATATGGCATAGTGTATGGTATGTCATATCTATTGATTGTAACCTCTCCTCTTGTCCGTGTTTACACCTGCAGTGATGTGTCCATTTGTTTATGTAAAGTGCTGTATCATAATACCTACAATTAGTAATACTTCTTCAAGCATTTTGGTGTGAATTTTGTAATAGGAATTACAAAAGATATTTTTGTGTTTAGAAGATAGCTTGTTCCTCTTTTTACTTATTGCCGGAACTAAGGACTGAGAAATTAATTGTATTTATTAGTGCAATATTGTCCTTTCTATGTCTGCTTAAAGTGCATAACAATGTTTGTAATGACTGTAATTCTTTTTTGCTCTTGGAAGTGGTTGGGGAGAAATTAAATGTCAGGCACAGCTGTTCTTTCTGGAGTGCAGCTCTTATTTCTGTGGCAATATTTTTGAATTTGGAGGTCACACTGCCATATATACACAGAGGAGTATTTAGTTTCTGTTGTGACGAGTTTTTTATTGTTACATAGTACATTTGTTTATTGAAGACATTTAATTTTTGTTGAATTATGTATGATGTACCATGTTCAACATAGATACTTATCACTCAGTTCATAGAATGAAGCAACTGAAATACTTTTCCTCTGATGGATCAGTTTTGTTACTGGGTTGATATGTAGAAAAATCATCCTATGGCAGTAAGTGATAAGCACAGAAGAAAATCTGGAGAGATTAGTTGAGGAATAGGAACAGAACATTTAACTTTCCAGGGCCTCGAGTATTACATGAAAAACAAAGCTTTTTCTAGTAATAGGTAGCATTTTGTTTTCCACTTTTGTTATCTTTGTTCTCTTTGTTGTGCTTTCAGTAATATCTGTTCCCTGTACTTCTGAAAAATTAGGTGTCCCCTACATCATATGATCAGCAGTTAGAAAGATCAGTACATTTGTAGTGAAAGCCTGTGTGCTTAAATTTCTGCATCCATCGTTATACTTCCCTAAACCTTATATTCATTTCAAAACACCATTTTGTCACTTGAAAGTATAGAATAAGTTTCTTACAGTAGCCCTGTTAGAGTAAAGTTTATCCATGTTTGCCAAGTTTTTAGTTGTTTAATAGGTAAATTGTGACATTCTATTGGTTGAAAACAGCAGAAACATCATGGCCAACTAGATTTGGTATTGTTTTCATGGTGCATTGTCATAGTGGATATAGACTTCTCACCATGTCTGTAGGATCTTGTGCTAGGGAATAGGAAGTTGCCAGGAGTTGTGCCACTGGAAGTTACAATGCTACAGTTACAGTCTGAGTCTGAGGCACTAAATAACAGTAATGCTACACAAGCATTGTATGATAAATAAGGTGGATAATAAAACTGCATACTGCCTTGGGGAAAGTTGGGGGCAAATGGTTGACCATTGTGCTGTATTCTTATATATGTATTCATGTTGCAATAAGTTTTAGTAATGTGTAGGCTTCCAGAAATATATCTACTAGCCATTTAAAAAACAGAATGCCTGTTGTCTTACATTTGCTTCACACAGATATTTTTAGAGGCGTTATGTAAACCCTCAGTGTTAAAAGTTAAGGTCTGGGATTAAACAAATAATAGTGCTTAATTTGCATTCTGTACCTTATATATCATGATAAATCATCTGCTATGCATTATGATTTTAATACATTTAAAGACAAAAAATGCACTTACCACAGGTTTCCATTAACTTATGTGTGGTAAGTGGGTAAGTTTCTGTTAGCATATGTTTTTAAAATAAGTGACATGTTATATTCTGCTAATTTTGGAAAGATTTTTGCTAAGTACAGGTGCAGTTGTGAACTGTGACATAGCTGAATTTTTAGCAGTCAAACAGCAGAGCCTGATTCTGACTGCTTTATTTGTAACATGTTGCAACATGCATGTGTTTCTACAAACTTCAGCTATGGGGTGTTTTCATAGTGTGGTAAAGAATAGTGTTCTTTATCACTTTCCTGGAGGGGAGTGAGGGGAAAATGGTTGATTTGGCAGAAGCGACTGCTGGAATTAACTAAGTTAACTGACTTTCCTTAACTTCATGTGTTTTGTACAAGTTGATATTTTAGTTTATTTTATGTGCTTGATATCCCAGAGGGCATGGGGGGAGGTAACTACCAACACTTGTTCCAGTCCATTGTTGACATTACTGAACATAACCTTGCTGGTTCAAGGTCATGTATATGTGGAATAGAATATTTTATTTTTGTTGAAGTTTGTGTCATGTTTGTTTGATAATTCCCTTCTAATAAAGATGGTACAGTGGACTACTGTATAACTGGCATAAATGAGACTGGGGCATTTATTCTAAAAGCTGGTTAATCTGGAGTTACAGTATTTGCTGTGGGAGATAATAAATAAAAGCTATAAAATTCAGCATGAAGTAAAATATCTCTGCCATACAATATTGCTTCTGTTAATTATATATACTGGTGGGTGT